ATCTAAAGCGGACCAAAAGTGGCAAGTGTGAATACACCATAAAAGTTTGAGCAGCACTGATGTAAGAATTAAAGCCTCTGTTTAAGAGGAAGTGTAATGTTGAGTGAGACAGGAATAGAGAAGATGTTCAGGAATTGGGGAAGTGAGAGCTCTAGCTTACAACACAAGGCTGATGACTGAGGCGGGGGCGCAGGTCAAAGAAGAAGCCAGCAGACAGCTCAGGACTGAGGTGATGATGAGATGTCTGATATGGACACGACTCGGGAAATTCCAGAAAAAAGATCACCTGATGTCACGGGTGACCAATGGGACAGCCATGGCAACAACCACTGGCCAATGAGCACAAAGAGTTTGGTGGAAATGCTCTATAAAATGGGCAAGAATAGAGGAACTAGTTGGTTGTTTCCTTGCAGAAGACCAGTGAACAATATTGGATGGAGAAAGACGCTACAGATGAAGCAGAGGACCAGAGACACAGCCCAGCTGATCGACTGCATTAAAAAGAGGATCAACCCGTGTCCCCTCAAAGGACTGTGCGTCGAAATTAAGAATCTGATTTCATCTACGGCCTTTTTATCCAGACAACAGAAGTGAACTTGATCTATGAACAACTGATTGCTCTAAGTTTCAGGCTTCTGGAAGTCCTGAATCAACCTCATTTGTACCTCTGGGGTTTCCTTCAACTCTTCAGCCTCTGGAAGCTTCTGTCTTCTGAGACATATGACAACAAAGTTCCTGTTTGACCATCGGAACCTGGAGCATCAGTGCCTGTCCACTTAGAGGAAGAAAACTGAAGATTAAGCCATCTTTTCTTCAAGAAATCGCTCGTTGTTACCAGAAGAAACATCCCCATCGGGTGCATGGATGAGCCTCCGTCTTCAAAGCCTCTCCAAAATCACTAGTTTCAGCATCAGGGAAAGACAGGTTGAGTTGATTGATTCATTTCTATTATTGAAATTATTATGTGTTGCCGAATTTAAGCTGTTACTGACCCCTGCAAAAGCGTTACTAATTAAAGAAAGCATATAAAATTCTAGATTTATTGTGGACATCCAATTATTTGAGTCACCTCATTGTTGGTTTTTCATTGGTGGTAAAAAGTCTTGTTGCCTGGTTCTAAGACTGGTTCTAAGAGATTTTAGGAGGGTTTTATAGGTTGCCTTAGCCAAGCTTGTTAAAACAGCGCCCTTGGGGCTCATGCCGAGTCACTAAAATGAACCTAACCCATATACCAAGAGCCAGTTGTGATATTAGGGAATGAGCAGCAGTTAACAGAAGTGACTGTCAAGGAGTGGATAACTGCTGTGGGCTACTCGGTCGTCCTGACCTCCAGTTGAAGAAGGGCGAGACTTCTGGATGCAGGCTGTCAGAGGTTAGGCGTGTCATTTCCCGACACCAGCTTAAACAGAACTTTCAGTTAACCTGCTTTGTAAGATCTTTCAGGTTTAGGGAAGTCCGGACCCGTTGGATGGAGAGCTGGATTGAGCAATCCCCTTAGAAATAGGGAAGTAGGAGGGAGGGGTTAACTCATCGGACAATGAAACATTCTTGTTTAAGTAACGCGGATGAGAGTTTTGTTCGGATTTAAAATAATAATAAAAACTTTTATGATTCCACAGAGAGCTGTCTATAAGGCGTTAAGAGAGCTGTGAGTCTCAAGACTCTGAACTCTTGAACATATTGGAATTATTATTGTTGCTCATCAAAATGACATGCAGAACACATTACTGAGCGTGATGGTAAAATTACTATCACACACACACACACACACACACACACACACACACACACACACACACACACACACACACACACACACACACATTAGAGAAACTAAAGACTTTTAGCAACCATGAGATCTGACAAATTCATCTGATAAATCACCTAAATTAAATAAAAGCAATATATTGTTTGCATGGAGCAAAACAGTGAGAGAAGTTCAGCATATACCTGTGCAGCTGAAATTCACAGATCAACTCTGGGGTTTCCAGTCCATGCCGGTTGGTAATTTTAGCCTCTGTACTGCCATTGGTTTCTTATCTGTTGGAAACAGTCTGATTACTCTGCAGGCCTTAAGGGGGACATGACCTTTCCTTCAGCTTCCTCACACACACACACACACACACACAAACACACACACAGATATCATTAAACAAATTTAGAAAATCACCTATGTTTATAAAGAGAAATTGGTCAACAAAGTATATACAGTTATCTGTAAGTATGTTTAAGACCTGTTTAAAGGTTCTTTTTTAAAAAAATGTACTTTTAATCTGATAAACCGGCCTCATTGGCTGTATATTCTAATTTATTCAATGTTGAATGTTCATTGGATATGTCTGTCTGTCTGTCTGTCTGTCTGTTTTTGTCATACAAGGCTCGCAGACCATTGAATTGTTTGTTTTTTGATTACCAATCACTACATTATGTGAATTTAGATCATTTTGATGATCTAAATTCACACACACACGCGCACACACATACACACACACACACACACACACACACACACACACACACACACACACACACAAAACCCACCACCCCTGATCTGTTTTGTCCCTGTGGATTACAAAGCACCTTCAGGGTGATGGGTAGGTGGGTGCCGGTTTAGGTGGGTGTTGTTTGGTGTACTTTGGGTTCAATTAATGTTCTGTCCTAGTTTCCAAGTGCTGAAAAAGATGCAGATTGAGAAAACTTTCACCACGTTTTTTACCCCTTCAAATCTTAATCCCCTTACCATTCCCAGTCCCACCCCCTTCTGAATTCTTTTACTTTTCCTCAGCACCGTGGATACATAAATGGCGTCTTTTTCAAGCAGAGTAAAAGAGCAAGCTATAACAGAGTTTGACAGATTTTAGTCATCATTGCTGCTTTGATCCCAGATTTTTTCCTTGAAGTCAATAAAAGATAAACACAGCTGCATGATAGAAAAAAGAAAGGAGGAGAATGCAGGTGAAGGGAAAGAGTATAGGGGACAATAGATTAAAGGAAAGAATCATAGCAAGAAAATTAATTGGGTTATAGACTGAATTTGTTTATCCTAAAGGGTTTATCCTAAAGATGCCCCAGTCCCATTAAGAGAAGGATTCCCTATTTAGATCCATCATGTGGTTACTTGCTTGTACGTGTGTGTGATGGTTTAGTTTTGAAAAATTCTGGAATATTCCAATAGGTATTTACCAGGTGTTAATAGTATGTATCGTCATAAAATGAAAAAAAAACAAAAAACTGATTGTTGAAAATTTTTAGAAGTGAGGAGAACAAAACCTTTAATATTTCAGATGTTGATTTGGGTAGAAATGTTGAACCAGTTTAATCAAAATTTATTTATTAAAAAATTATGGTCCTCCAACTGTGGTACAAGTACCACTGAAGGTCCATAGGGTCCATTTATATGTACTTGCAGCATATTCTGTTATAAGGTGACCACATTTTTGAAATTAAATCGGGGGACATTACCAGCTTGGAGATAAAAGAAAAGAATTAAATGCTATCAAGATGAAATGAAGAAACTGGGAAAGTTCCAGTTTCATTTACTTTTACATGTTTATTCATATTCAAGCTATACTAATCAAATGTAACAGGAGGGATGTGTTTCTCAGTACTGTTAGCATTTTCTAAGAGTAATAAAACAAATACAGTAATAGTAGTAGTAATACAGTACTAAACCTGGAGGCAAAGGGGGTGCAAGAGTGTATACTAATGTAATGTATACTGGAAGTCTAAGGTGTACAGAGTGAAAAGGAATGGTGAGAGTAAAGTCCCCTGTGGTGCTCCTGTGCTGCTGACTACCTGGTTAGAAACACAACCCTTCAGGCTCACAAACTGGTCTGTTTGTCAGGTAGTCTTTGATCCAGGAGATTGTTGAGGCCTCCACCTGAGTCTTCTGCAGTTTCTGACAAAGCAAATTAGGCTGAATTGTTAAATGCCTGCTCTGCCAGATGGCAGTGGGTTTATTGAAGAGGGTGTATGATGGAATCTTCAACTCCAAATCCACAACAATAAGCACACTGAAGGGGGTCTGAAACACACTGAAGGGGGTGAGTTACCAAACAAGCAACTTTCAGTTGCTTGTTTGGTAACTCACATGGGGCCAACAGAAGTCTCTCTAGGTCCTTCATAATGTGGGATGTCAGGGACAGGTGAGTTTTCTTTTGGTACCGGAACTAGGCAGGAGGTCTTCCACAACACTGGAACCCTTTCCTGGGTCAGGCTGTGGTTGAAGAGTGTGGGAATATTTTTTATTAGCATCAATTTGTTTATTGTGTTTAAGTGTTATTAGAGAAATGGGTAATTCTTTTCAGGTTAAAGGACAAGAGGAGTCGAATTGCAACCCTCTACGTAAGGCCTAGTGACCTCTCAGGTTTTGCAAGGGGTTCTTCTGTGTGCACAACACATAATTCAGAAGTTATCACCCCCCTGAGGATGTCCTGGAAGGAGATGAATATCCATCCATCTGCTCCTAAACTAGATGTTTGCGCGTAAATACTGCGCCCCCCCTGCTGCAAACAAGACAACCCCCCCTGCTCCAAAGAAGACGACAACAAGTAATCCCGTTTTGTTTTGTTTCTATTAGAAATAGCTTGGGCAGGATAGAGTAGGATTTTAGGGCGATTTAGAATTGCCACTTTTAGTCCAATGTGTTCTAAGTTGTATGTGCATGCAATGTCTTATTGAAACTTTGATTGCTGTTGGACTCTGAAGCCACCACGCTTTGAAGCTGTGCATGGCTGTTTTTGAACACCTGAGCGCAGACTCAATTATTACTGAGAATTTTCTAATTGTAGTTTTCAAGGGCTTTGAGCCATAATTACAATAAATGGTAAATGGACTGAACTTATATAGCGCTTTTCCAGTCATACAGACCGCTCAAAGCGCTTTACACTAGAGCCACATTCACCCAATCGCACTCACTAACGCTCACACATTCATACACCGATATGCAGATCAGTAGGCAACTTGAGGTTAAGTGCCTTGCCCAGGGGCACATTGACATATGTATACTGGCAGGAGGAAGCTTGAACCCACAACCTTCTGATTGCAAGACGACTACTCTTCCTACTGAGCCACAGTCGCCCCACAATACCAGAGGACATCTCTGATTTCGATTCGTAAGTAATGATTTTTGGTTCAGAAATTAATCTTTTTCAAATTATGACTTTAAATTATAATATTTGATAAATATTAATTAATCAATAATCATAATTCTTACACATTTAAATCTCTTGTGATTCTTTTGCTAACTACTGGTCCAGAATATAAGATCCATCAGGAGAGGCAAGTGGTTTTCTCCAACAAGACGTACTGCAGAATCCCTCAAACCTGCTCTGCACAGGCCTCTAGAACTCTGGGGCTGACACCGTCTGGACCTGCAGCCTTATTTGGGTTCAGTCTCCCTAGCTGCCTCTTCATCTGGCTTCTAGAGACGCACAGATGGAAGGGGGAAGCAAAGGGACATCAGCATCTTCTGATTTGTAGAAGCATAAGAGTCCATGGCCAAGATGGAAGATAAAACATTTGAGGTATGACAGGGAAGCGTTGGGTCAAAGGAGGGTCATCTGTACCATGGAGCTATAGTGAGCCATTAAAACTGTAAAGATAAGCAATTCGGGCCCCATTATCTTCAAATGGACTCCTCAAATGGACACTCCTCAAAAGGGACGTGCACTGTTGCCGCACTTCTGGCTAAAGTGTGTAAATACAGTGAGGTTGTTATTTACACTGGCAGTTATGACACCTTCTTTTCCAGTAGAAGGTCCCTAAAATTAATATTACTTTGAATGTAAGCTTGCCAAAACAATAAGGGACTCCAGAATTTTCTCTGGTTTCCCTCCCTGATTTGACCAGTAATGAATCCAGTCAGGTAGGCCACAGGCATCCAGGGTTTCAGGTTGGAGACCTGAAACCCTAGATGACTTTAAATTACAACTTTTAAATTCAGAAAAGACACAAGTTATCATCTTTGAGATAACTGTTGTTATCCAGTAATAAAGTAAAGAACTTTGATGTTATCTTTGATAAGAACATTTGATTTAAAGCTCATCTTAAACAGATTTCTAGGATTTCCCCTTGTCACATCTATATCATGGTTAAAATTAGAAATATCATATCCCAAAGTGATGCAGAAAAACTTGTGCATGCATTTATTTTTTTACTTCAAGGCTGGACTAATGCATTTCTTTGATATCATTGGGCCACAAAAAAGCCTTCATCTAGCATTTGAAAGAGAACTAAAAAGTTAGAGAAACACTATTATGGTGGCTTTACTTAGAATTATACTATTATAATATAATGCATTTGTCATTAGATCAGCTGTTTAAAGGTGGGTGGGGGGTTACTTCAAGTCAGGTACATACATTCCAATTAATCCTAACTATCAAACAGTGCAGTCAGATTCAGTTTATTATTCAAATTGGTTTAAAGGTTTTTATATCTGTGGAAACCCAGCAGAATGGAGTCAGTGACTTGTAGCATTCACTCCCCCTGGATGAGCATGGAGAGACGGTGGACAGTCGTTGGCATTGACTTTGCAGCAGTCCTTCATACTGAGCATGCATGTGGCGTCAGTGGAGAAGAAAACTCCCTTTTAAAAGGAAGAAATCTCTGGCAGAACCAGAACCAGGCTCAGTGTGAGCAGCCATCTGCCACGACTGATTGGGGGTTTTAGAGAACAGAGCAGAGAAGGAAAAAGAACACAGGAGCATTGATCCAGGGGAAAGAAAAGTGAAACATTAATGGTTATAGCTCCTTTAGAGGCTTCATCTAGAAGAGAAAGACAGATAATCAGATGAACTATGAGCCAGTTTTCAAGTCTAGAGGATGAAAGAGAGCACATACAGTTAGTCACAGTATAAGCCTGGCCAGTAGCTATGTGTAGGAGAGAGACAGGGTTAAACACTGAAAGACAGGGCCAAGTGTATCATCTGTAGGAGACCATTAAGTTGTTGGCAGCAGAAGCTTGGACGATGCCCCCCTCCAGGAAGATGACACAGCTAAACTTAGAGCCAGGCCAGATGTAGCTTCTACGAAAAGAGAAAACAGAGAGAGAATATAGAGTTAAAAGCTGAAATAACAGCAAATAACGCAGATTGGAGAGTAGTATGAGAATGTTGCAGAGAGAGTGAATGTGGTCACTGTGTCCTCCAGCATTCTAAACCTATAGCAGCATAACTACAGAGATAGTTCAGGATAACGTAAGCCATTCTAACTATAAGCTTTCTCAAAAAGGAAAGTTTTAAGCCTAGCTTTAAAAGTAGACAGAGTGACTGCCTCACGGACTAAAAGCCTGATGACTAAAAGATTTGCCTGCCATTCTACCTGTAAAGACTCTAGGATTCACCAGTAAACCTATAGTCTGACAACAAAGTGCTCTGTTAGGAATATATGGAACACTCTCTTCTCTTTAAACCTCACCACCACCATGGGTAACAAACAGCTATCAAAGGGCAAAAGTGACAAGACAGTAGATTGCATAAGCCTTGAATGAGCTAAGTAAGTAAAGCTTGGTGAAAAGAGACCCCTGCGTGTTCCAAAATTTGAAAACTGAAGAAGTATAAGATGGCACTCATTTGCCCTCTCTCTGGAGCTCCATGCAATATCCCAACTAATGGGGTTAGGATGACTCTGAAAAAGGTGAGTAATCAGGCCAGAATTAAACAGAATGAGCATGTAAACTTTAAATTACTAAAAACTGGGTCACTGTCTTATGAAAACTGATCTACTGTGTTTCTGGGCTAAAGACCCCAATGTTTCCAGACCCTAAAAATGCCACTGGTCTGACCTCTGATCTGGTCTTACCTCTCCATAACTTCTGACCACAAGTGCCAACTCCAAGTTGGGATAAGGTCCTTGCCAGACAAATCATGTTTAAATATAATACCAACATATTATACAATAATATTTGGGCTTTTTTGCTTCAAGTAATAAAAATCAACTGAAGAGTTTGAAATGAACATTTTATATACAGATATGAATTTCACGTTTTAACATACAGGCACACAACCAACATTCAGTAATTTCATTTAACTGGAGCTATAGCAGTGAAAAGGAACCCTCAGCTCTAATTTATAGTTCAATTCAATTCAGTTTATTTATATAGCGCCAATTCACAACACATGTCCTCTCAAGGCACTTCACAAAAGTCAGGTACATACATTCCAATTAATTAATTAGTTAGATAAGCCTAATCCAGGTCCATGTAATCAATGTCTGCTGGTGTCTAGTAGAAGCAGCAACAGCCACTACCTTACCATGATGTGCTTGTAGTTTACACCTGTAGGGAATTGAGGCTGCTTGGTGTTGCTGATGGGGGAGGGATGGAAGGAAAAAGGGCACAGGGACCCCAGGAGATATGGCAAATAAGAAAAGGAGGTAGGAAGATGAAAAACATCATATGATAGAAACCAAAGCTCTGAGAGAAAGGTAACGGAGACCTTTGAACAGAGGAACTGTGGGCCCTTGAAAGGTTTGGGGTCTCTGGAGTCCTCAGTGACACTGACATCATGCACACAAATACAGCTGCACAACTGCAAACAAACAGGCTTTCACACATACACACTTAAAAGGACAGCTCTGACAGCTAACAGAAAAATTGAAGAGGGAATCAATGGATGAAAGAAGAACTCAGCCTGTGTAGTAAAACAATTCAACTCAAAATCTAATTTACATTGCTGTGTTGGTATACAATACAAAGGTCAGGAAAGGCTAATAAAATCAGATTTATTGAGAAGACGCATCGACAACTTCTGATTTATTCTTATTTTACACATAGACATAAAAAAAAAATAAACGTTCTAAAAGGGGCAATTTGGACATCAAGGACAAAGAGGGCAGGAGCGCCTGCAGAACCCCATATGTTCCCCTCTGTCCCAAGGATACTGTTTAGGAAATTATGTGGTTCATTCAGATGGCAAACATATGTCAAAGTGGTAACTTTTTGTAACATTGCTCATCAACACTATACAATTTTTACTGACAACTCAAAAGAAATAACAATTTCCAGCTTTATTTTACCACAAACAAAATTATATTATATTATATTATATTATATTATATTATATTATATTATATTATATTATATTATATTATATTATATTATATTATATTATATTATATTATATTGGCTAAAGTCTGATCTATATATACCAACACAGTAACATAAATAGATTATTGGAATGAATCATTTTACTACATGGGGAAATCTTTCATCGTCAGATAACTATGGGGTTTCATTGGTGCCAAAAACATGTTTATGTGTCTATGTAAGGTGTGTATCTAAGGTACATATGTAGCCTGCTTAAATATTGTAACGTGTCTAAGTAGTGCGTTGTGTCTATGTGCCAACTTTAGGGTTCTGTTCAGTCTGACAGCACAAAGCAAGTTGATTTTTGTTAAACTTACTTCCATGAGTCTATTAATCATTCCTTTTTCTTTTTCTTTTTTTTCACTGTTATGTTAGAGATTTATTACCTCCATTGTTGTTTGTTGCTCTTCCTTAGTAGTGTGTTAGTAGTGCAATTTAATTATATACATGTTTTCTAAGACCACCTTTTCCTTGGGCCTCGATGTCACAAATGTCTGTGTGGAGGAGATATTATTAAGTGAAAATTGTTGTGTATATTTTAATGCATGTGTTAATATTGATCCTGCACCCACTGAATTACCGATTCAAAGACAAATTATGAATGATCTCACCTCACAAGCTTTCTCCTCTATTTGACCATACTTTGTTGAATTCCAACATGAGAGAAGTGGACTCTTTGTTTCATCTTTAAATACCTATGGTACTCATATTCTGGATCATATAGCACCTGTGAAAACAAGCACAGTTATCCTTCGGATACAGATGAAATCCATACTTTGAGGATAAAGTGTGGTAAGGCTGAACGTCTCTGGAAAAAGTCTATGCTTGAGGTACATAGACTGCAGCTCAAAGACTTAATCTACTCTCTAATAAGTTGCTAAAAATGAAAGAATACTTTGCAAACTTCATAGCTGCCTATCAAAAAAAAATTCTAAAGTCTTGTTTGACACAGTTAAGAACTTTGAATCACCTAGTTCTCATATCACTCTTGCTT